CCGGTAATTTGGGAAAATCGCTCTTTGGGGATTTCCAAGAGATCGGCCAAGTCTTTTGTCTTGCTTCTCTTTCAGGTGCGTCCTTTCAGTTAAGCTGCACAGAACGGCTGTAGGGTGGGCTCTCGGCGGTGGGGCGCGAGCTAGGAGCTGGTTATCAAGTGTCACCACAATGCCTCGTTTCGCCAAAAAGTCCATTCCCAATATCATTCTTTCGGCCAGATTAGGGATGACGGCAACCAGTGTGCTTGTTGCTCGGCCGTTATATTCAATTTTTACGAAATAGGAATGCGTACTTGCGACGCACGTTTGATCTGCTAGTTGCACGTTTTCTTTGTCAGGTTGTGGCTGAATATTACGCTGCTCCAGATGCTTGCGTATCTATTGATTTATGTATGTTAACGCGGCTCCAGTATCGATTAGGGCTCGGACACCCATGTCTTCGACTAGGACGTTCGCATAGAAGCGGCCATCGGGACCTTGCCAGCCTAGTCGAGACGTGGTTGGTTGATTGGCGGAGGTGGCTGTTTTCTTCTTGCGACAAAGGCAATCCTTGGAGAGGGTACCATCTCGTCCGCATCGAGAGCAGAATAGTCGCCTCGGGCCACTGAAAGCGGTGGTGTCCGCGCTTTTTGTATCTCCAGCAGGTGTTCTTCCCATCGTATCGTTCGTCTGGAGTGGATAGGCAGTGTGCCGCTTGCCTGGTTTGCCTGGCCTCCTCGCTTTTGAGTAGCTCATATTCGTCTGTGAGCCCCATCAACTCTTCGATAGTGTGGACTTCGCTCCGCTTTATGAATAGTCGGTACTCCACTCGCAAGCCTTCGTAAATGCGCTCCAAGTGGTCTTCGTTGCACATCGTTGGGTGCTGACGGATTAGCGTTTAGAGAGCTGGCGAAAGGCGTCTTCCAACTGACTTACGTGTCGACGCGGAAGAAAGAATCGTTCAAATTCGGTGCGGAATATGGCCCAGGGGGTTATGGATGGTCTTCGTATGCGGAACCATTGGAGTGCTTCGCCGCGGAGTATAGGGTTGGGGGGAGTTGGTCTGGCGTGATTTGGTAGCATTCCACCAGTTCCTCAATCCTCTCCAAGAAGTCGTGCAGAGTGTCGCCGCCGGAATAGCGTACGTCCCAACGGCGGACTGTGCTCACTACCTCGGCATTGCACTTATGGTCTCGTTTCTGGGCTGTTAGTTGTGGTGATTTCGCCATGCTAGTTTCTTCGGCAGCGATCTCCATCTCGAGTTCTTTGAGAAGGTTTTCGGTCGATTTGCGGTTTCTCTATGTCATGACGAAGTTGCTGAGAGTGCTGCGCAGGTTAGCGACAGTGCTCCCTTCAACGGGTATATGATGCCTCTTGCATTCTTTTACCAATCTCTCTTTCGTCAAGAGATATATCCAGCCAAGAGAGTCAATGTTTAGTGTGGTGGTATCATTTTCGCTCATCCGTGTGTCATTTACTGGTTGTGGTGTGTTCGATGAGCCCGCATCCGCCGTGTTAGTGCTTGTTGAAGTTTTTGCATATGGCCTGCAGAGCTGGGCCCTGGTCGGGCGCCATTTATGAGGTGGGTTTTATCGAAGGCTGAGGTATGCTCAGCCGCTCCAGAGTCCAGCGAAGGTCCCACTAACCCCCACCAAATAAAACACAATGATTTGTGTATTAAGTCGAACACACCCACACACACAAGCGCCTATCTAGAATACCGGTAACTTGTTGTGCAGGGGAGAGAGGGAGGTAGCGATGTACGGGATGCGCCATAAAACTCATTTTCACACCTTCACCTGCATTCATTAAAAAAAAAAAAAAAAACAACGTTGCCCGCGGATAGGTCTACTGGGGAAACCACGTTAAAACAAAACGCCGAAAAACTCTACCTCAGCGGTGGTTTGGAAATGAGTTTTGCGGCGCGCCCTGTACATCGCTATGTTTATCGCGAAACCGATCGTGATCTACTTAGGCGTCGTACAAAAAAATGTAGGTACAAAAGTTGTGGAGAAGGAAATACTCTACAACCGAGGAATTTCATTATGCTATGTTTTTTCAACAGAAATTGTCAAAAAAGGCGAAACCCACGACAATGTAAAATTTTTTCGCAGTTTTTGCTAATTTTTGACAATAAAAAATGTTATTTCTAAAAAACCTTTCATACAATAACTGTGGGAAACTAAATTCTCTACATATTTGTATTCAACCATTTGCAAAATACGCTTGCAAATCGCAAAAACTTCAAAAAAAAAACTTAAATCCAAGATGGCGTAATGTTGCCAAATGAAATTTAGGTGCAAGACTGTGGATCCATGATCTGCGTGTCTAATAGAAGTAAACTGCACCAAAAAATTGCTGTTACAAATTTTATTAAAAAGAGGTCTAATTTTACTGGGCTACAAAGTCTTTTCTCTTCTTTGTTCAATTCAAAAACTGGATTGACGGTTCAATGTGCTAGAAATTTCAGTGTTCAAAAAACATCGATGCATCGATACATAGACTATTTATACATCGAGTGGAAAATTTTCGTTACATCCAAGCAAAACAGCGATATTTTCGACGCATCGATGTTTTTCCGACATCGTTAGACTAGTAGGATTAAACCCCGAAATACAATAACGCAGTGCCAGTGGCAGTTTTTCGAAATCAGCTGGTTTTTAGAAAGTGTGGTGTCCAATGAAGCGACTCACAATACAGCAGTGGCAGCTGGCAGTACTGCTCAGTTTAGCCCAAATTCTAAACTCACTGCCACTGCCTTCATCGCAGCAAACTTCACGTGCTGAATTTGACATTAATAAAATGCAGCCAACTTCTGTTCATGTCACTGAAGCCTAAAAGACAACAACAAAAATGTAAACAAACAAAAGGGAATGTCAAAAAAAGCTGTGACTGACAACGCCGTATTGTATTTGCTGCGGCAGCGACTGCCAATATTAGCAGTAGCTGACTTTAAAGCTGAAGCCAGATAAAATAGTATTGTTTTGATTATGCACTTGTCCCCAATTATAATTAAAAAGATTACAAGGAAAAGTGCAACACAACCGCCTTATCCTCATGGCCATATAGTAAAAGGAGTGTTTACTGGCATTTCCGTTGAAGTATATGATTCAGACAGCATTAGGCGAATTTATGAGAAAGGATGCTATGGAAAGGGTAACAAATCTAGGGGTGCCTCAAGCGTAGTCACAAAAAATGCAGCACATGATACCGAATGCCTTACGTTGGAGTTAGAAGAGTCGTGCTTTTTGTCATACTTTTTGGGAGTCTTATGCATACACAAGCAAAGATAATAAATCGGAATTTTTGGAAAGCCTTGCCGCCTACATGTATCTAAAAGCCAAGGGATGTCTAATAAAGAGTGGAATTAAATTTGGCGGCGATTTTTGTAAGTATTTGATTCATATGTAATACAATGTTTAATATGGATTCGGATCACGGTGGAATAATAATAAGGTGTTGTCAGTAGCGACGTGTTTGTTGTAATTTTGACAAAATCAGTACGCTTATTTCCAATGATGCCTACTCACATATTTATACCACAAAACTTAAGGAAAATAGTACTAGAACTACTCCTATTGCCGCCGATAAGTAAAGCTGAGTAGTGTAGTTCCTATGTTATTATGTAACTTATGTATGTTAAATAAGTATTTCTGCTGTGCTCAAAAATAATGACATCTCTTTTCTGTTTTGTACTATTAAGCATATGTTTGTAAAAGATAAATGTATAATGCATATATTTAAATACACACACACATCATATACACTTTGATTTACATAGGAATCCCGCCTAACGGTCCTCATCAAATTCTATATCACGTCATGTCGTAGAAAAAGTGAAAATATTTGAAGTTGTACAGCCCAGCAGAAAAGACGCAGAAATACACAAAATTTTAAAAGTATAGCGTATTATTCGCATACTCCAAAAATTGTGTTTTATTAAAAACTGCTATCGCAGGCAACAACTCCTTTTCTTGATATCCCTCTAAAAGAAAGCGTTTGCATCATTGTTTTTTTACCTCTTCTTCATTATTCATTTTCGTGTTGCAAATCTGAATTTCTGAGTTATGAATTATAAAATTGCGGTGTTTTCAATGAAATAAATCGGGTTACGTTTAGTAAGCAGTTTAAAAAACTAATTAAGTTTAGTAATGCTAATACTAGCTGTTGTGCAAGTAAAGTTTATGCCTCGACTAAAGTTTGGTATACAGAATTGGCTAGTTGAAAATTTGCAAAATAAAAAAGTTTTCGACCACTGCATTTGATCCAGTGAAAGGTATTTTTAAGCAATTGGATACAATGCCTTTTAGTGCCCAATGCATTTGCATAACAACCCACCACATTTAACTTTGTTTTTGGTACCATATCCAGCCAGGTATATATAACTTTTATTTGCAAGTAAGGAAAACCGCAGGTCTTCTTTTTCAGTGTTTTTGTTGCACGGTGAACCGCTTTTCTACCTCCAAGTGTGACCAAGAGAGCCACATTGACCGGTGCAAATTTTATGGAGAAAATGTTGCGGTCATCGTCCACCTCGCAATTGCCGGAAAGAATTAAAAAACTTTTATTCATCCTAAAATCCTCAAATAACTGAGGTGTGTGTAACCAACAACATTTAGAACGCTTAATTATAAAATATTATTTTTAATTACTTCTACTCAAAACGATGGAATATTTTTATTTCGTTTAGCTGAATTCCTTTTTACAAGCTTTTATTTAACTTGCTCATCCCGCGGATAAATCTAATTGATTTTATTTTTTCCTTGTAAGAACAAAGAATCTCCAAAAAAGTCAGCATTGAGTTAGTTTTCGAAATTAATAAAGGTACAAAAATACTTTAAACTTCCATATTATTGTAAAAATAGTTCGAAAAACGGAGTGCGTTGCCGGAATATGCGTACCGAAAAAAAGAGGTTAAGTTACTAACAACACCTTGTATTATTCCACCATGATTCCACGATTGAGAGAAATAGAGATTGCGCCAATCGCGGCACCGATAATCAGCTCTTTGTGATTTTGACAGAATCAGCTGTGTGCGTGACGTCATCTTGGTGCAATTGTTGATTGTGAGCATACGAAAAAACCAAATAATAATTTTAAAATTTGTGCATTAATATTTCTGCGTGGTTTTTAACAATTATTGAGACATTACAAAGCAAAATGAAGTGTGCAGTGGCAAAGTGTAATAGCGAAAACAAAAGGAAAGCATGCGATATAAGTTTTTTTCGTTTCCTACGGACGCGAACCTGGCGAAAAAGTGGAAGAAGTTCCACCGGGGATTATGCATTAAACACCAAATCGAGCTATGTGTGCATGAAGCACTTCACTAGTGAAGATATTGAAAATAATACACAGTTCGAAATGGGTAACATATTGTGTATTTTCATATTAATTGCATTTAATATCGTTTTCATAAACGCCTTAGGTTTTGCAAAACTTCGTCGTTTAAAACGTGGTGCGGTGCCTACTATTTACGAAGAAAATCTGGGGGGTTCCCAGCGTGCGGAAAGAGCTCAGCACAGGAAAAACAAAAGAATTGCCAGCAAGTTACTTGAGCAGAGTGAGACTGCCGTTGCCACTGCAGGTAACCATTTGCATTTATATAAAGTTATATTAAGCTGTGGAGTCAGCAGCTGTGGAGTTTATGGTGGTTGGCTACCGTCCACAAATATAAATATGCACTCTGCATTGCTTTTTACAATGGCGAGCAATTGCTGCACACCTTCCTTTTGGTCTACATGAAATTGCAAACCCTCTTATCCATTTTTTCAGGTGCTAAAAATCGTACTTACCTAAACGGCTACATGTCCAAAATTATTGCTACGTGTTTTTCTCGCAATTACACCAAGATGACGTCACGCAAAAATTACGCTCAAAAATCCTCTCTCATTGGCGCAATCTTGTATTCTATCATTCTTGCCATGATTCGGATGTAGATTTTTTACTCACTAGTAATGGGGAGGGAGAGCACAATGTTTGGTGTGTCATGAAGAAATCGCACGGCCATTATAGCGCCATTTCCCCTTATTCCCAAGTTTTGAATTAATAAATTATTACGTACATACGCACATAAATAAAAAGATGAATTTAAAATAATGCTAAGAAATTCCTTTTCTTTTAATTCAAAATAAGAAGAGTAATACAAATTAATTAGAATATTTGCTTTAATTTAATTTTAATTATAATAAGAAATCTAAGCAAGCAATGCACGTGAATTAAATTATATTGAAAGGTTAATTCTTTAATATTATATCTCCCTTTCACACAATTTACAAAATAAAAAAAAAACCCTTTTTTATAATTTTCAACTCGAAATCGTGTAACAACACTGTTTCATCAAACGCGTGAGCGACTTATTCTCTTCATTCTCTCATCGTTGTTCTAAAGGCTTTCCCACGAGGCGATTTTTCAGGCAACTTTTAGTTGAAAGCAAAAATCACCTCGTCCGAACGGCCTTTCAACTAATCGCTTTCAACAAAGTTGGTCGCCAGCCAACTTTGAGCTCGTTCAACTTTTTTTCCTTGCAACCCTGTGTTTGTTTACATTCTCTATACATACTTTTTT